TTACATAGAAAAAAAAAATAAAAATCCCAGTGGTGAATAAATACCACAAAAATAAAGTTTTATCTGTCTCAAAAAATGCTAAAAAATTCAAATGGGTACAGTGTTGCATGACCGCGCATTTGTCATTCAAAGTGTGATGGCGCTGAAAGCTACAATTTGGCCTGGACAGGAAGGGGGTAAGTGTCCGAACTTGAAGTGGTCAAGGACTGGACCCCCCGCTCCCAGGCGATCGGAAGCAGAAGTTGTTCCCCCCCTTCCTCCCCGTAGTCTTCTGTGACACGTGACAGGTTCCAGAAGACTACAGGACAATTCACAAAGCACAGCACTACTCGCGTATGCGCAGTGGGGAACACACCGCGGGATCGAGGGACAGGTGAGTGTCCATTTTTTTTAAAGCCAGCTTTTCACTGGAAACTCCACTTTAAGTAAAAAAAAGTTTCTTGAATTTTAAAAAATTTAAATTACACCCAAGCACATAAAATCCCCCCCCCCCCCAATATTTTGAGGGCTCCCCAAAAATTGGTGTAAAGCACAAAGGAGACATCCAGGGTCTTTTAGACTCTTAATGGCTCAATAAAGAGAACCTGTCATCAAAAGATCATCACACACTGGGGACTTTTTTGTCCCCTATGTGATGATAAAAAAGTAAAACATTGTTTTTTAAATTGTAAAAAAGTAATGTTACACCCAAGCACATAGAATCCACCCCCAAAATATTTTGAGGCTCCCCTATCCCTACTTATATGCACGTATGAAAGTGAACACACACATGAGAACGCCTACACGTGAAAATATTGATTGTGATACACGTTACATATTGCCGTGACGGTGAGAGCAATATCTCTAGCACCAGATCTCCTCGGTAATGCCAAACTGATGACCTATAGGCAACTTTTAAATCGTAGCTTATGAAGAATATAGGGTACTGAAAATTTGTCACCATTTCATGGGTACACGCAAATTTAATGTTTGACACGTTGGGTATCTATTTACTTAGTAGAACCTCATCTTTTATATTTTACCAGAAAATTGGTTAATTTATTGCGTTTGTATGCCCTAAGATTCACTTTAGTGTATTTTTTACTGAAATTATGCTTTTCCTAGACCTCTGCAGTAATATTGTGGGACATAAAAAAAATTGTAACTACCACTATTGTATTCTCTAGGGCACTGCAAGAACTGCAAGTCCCATCACGCCTAATGGAGTCATGCTTGTAACTGTCAGCCTTGACATGCCTCATGGGGCTTGTAGTTCAGCAACAGCTGGAAGGCCACCAGTTTGACAGCCCTGCTCTAGGGTGTCTGTTTTCAGAAAATATATAATGTTTTGGGAGTTGATGCAATCTTCAGGCCTAAAATTTTTTTTGAAACGTGTGCAAAAAATTCAAAAACGGCTCTGGCAGCGAACAGACTAAATGTTTTAGGTTCAAGCCAATTATACTTTCCTTTTGTTTTTACTAAATAAATTGCCCAGCTTTTTCTGCAATACTTGCCCTTCTTCCAGCAAGGAGTCCTGCAGATTTGCCACTCTGTGGTTCAGCGTCAGTCCTCTTCCAGGTTGAATGACATGCCTCAGATCTGAAAGAGGCTGGAGTTTAACTTTATGTACTAGAATTTGTGTAGAAATCGGCCTCCTGGAATTCCTTTGTACAGTAGCACTCTGACTCAGGGAGGAAGCACTATGAACCAATCAGGTTCTGCTATTGTGCACAGTGAGCAGACTGATGCCTCATCAGTGTGTTGCTGCTCCCTTGTTATCAAATCAGGCGGTTTGCTCTTGGACAAAATATGCTGCTGGGTTGGAGGTTCTGGATCTGGTTGTGCTCTCTGATTACAAGACTTGCTACAAATCCTTGGGCAAATAAATGTGCCCGTATGTGATCTTTGAATATGTATTTAGCATTAACAATCAATTCGCAACAAATACAGAAATTAGCAAACTCAGAGAGAATGGAGTTCTGTAAATGTTTTAATCATGCTTGTCATCTGAATTCTACACTGCAGTGGTTATGAAGTCTTGTCTCTCCAATAACGACACAAAATTCTGTAATCTTCCATCTAATACTCTATCCAACCTTTTGCTTTTAAGTAGAATTTTATTGGATCACAGTCTGAATTGCTTGTCATCAAGGATCGATCAGGAACACTCTCACTAAACAATACCTCTTACTTCTTAGAATCATTGGAGCTAATAAATAAAATCTCCTTGAATAAAGGGCTTGTGTCAGCAAAATACAACATTTTACTTCTCTGAAACTAGAAAAAAGGCAGACATGATCGGTGCATTCCAAAGGCTGATATTCCAGTATGTGTGTGGTCATTGCTGGGGTGGAGCTGGTGTTGTGGCAGGCCTCGGGTTTTAAATGCATGCAAAGGATATGAAAGCCCCCCAAGTCCGGTGTAAAGAGGAAGGAAGTCTGAGTGGAGAAATAAGAGAAAGCAAAGACAAATCCCAACAAACAGTAGTGATTGTGTAGGTCTCACTCTCCCAGTTGGATTGTTTCAGTTATTTTATGTTGCAGTGAATGCAATAGAGTATTGGGATTACTCGTACAGACCATGAAGCATGGAGAACAAAGAACTGCTAATGCCAAAGAGATAAAAGGAGGTAGTTCTGGTGGACAGCGTTTTTTAAAGTGAACATAAATCCTGACTCCACTAAAGTCTTCCTATTTTGTACATGTCTCACTACCCCACCACATGACTGAGCACTAGGTTCAGTCCAGCTGTAGGTTCTAGTACCTGCATCAAGAACAGAGCAGTAGTAATCAAGTTTATAAAAACATTCCTCGGTATACTGCATGTTGGGGCAGTGGAGATGTATAACAAAGAGGCTTGGGTGTGTTCAGTGGTATGGCCTCAGTGGAAATTGGAATATCATTAAAAGCCAAATGTATGGTCCTCACTAACAGCCACAATGAGTTGATGAGTCAAATTATACTCATCTCTAGCACACAAATTCCCTCCTGTTAGCTGCCAGGCATTATGCAACTTGTCTTAAGACAAGTTGCATAATGCCTGGCAGCTAACAGGAGGGAATTTGTGCGCTAGACCAAAATTCAGATGAAAAATTAGGAAAATTCATTAAAATTCATTTTAATCAATAGGAAAATCAACATTAAAGAGACACTGCTCTGGTGTCCATTGGCTACCCAGCCTCGAGCACTGTCACATGCTCCCCAATAACGCAAAACCTGCTTCATTAGAGCAGTAGACTAAAGGGCTCAGGCGGAGTGGGGAAGCGGCAAGGGAGCATTATGAGTGCATGATGAGTGAATATAAAACATCTTGGGGGGGGGTGTGTATCAGGAGGCCCTAACTGAATAAAGTGACAGTGTGGTTTTTGGTATTTTTAGAGGGTCCAGTGGGGATTTAAATGGTTTCTGAAGCTGACAGAAGCTCATTTTAACTATACTGGATTTGTTCTCACCCCCCACCCTAAACTCCCTCCTTAACTTTTGAACTTGACCTTTTATTTTACAGAAAGGAAAAAAAAACATACTGAAAAGCTAAAATAAAACATTAAAGTACCAGTACACAAACAATCACATGCAAAAATGCAGGAAAAAAACTAAACGCTGAATTAAATTAATTAAACTAGCCTAAATATATTTTTTAAAAAAACTCACCTTCCACACAAAAAAAAATAAATGATTTTCTTTTTCAAGTAACTTTCACCTACAGTATGTAGCTCAATAGGTACAATTTGTGTGTGGCGGGAATACTTAGACTAACTATCTCAGGTACTGTTCCAACCACATGCAGCTTAGCTCTCTTTTTTGCTTCCTTGCATCTGCATTCAAAGCGTCTTCGGTCAGCACCATACAATATCCACCGCTCGCAACTCATTTATAACTGACACTGCATGAATATCAATGAAAAAGGAAACCTTCTCATGATGACCTATAATTGTCCAGGAGTGGTGTCACACAGAGAGAGAAGCTGCAGTCTCGGAGTTATTTGCTCCATTGTGTCAAACAAGGAAATGTTCACATTTTTCCTCAAGTCTCCGAGGACACATTTAGGTGTCTATGGTTGACTTTATTTGTCTCAGGCCTGTTCTTATGTTTCCATATCAAAGTAGACAAATGTTAGCATTATTTTCTTGGACATGATGGAGTAGCTTTGTTAAAGTGTAGCAATAAAATCAACATAGTTCCCCCAGCTTTCTACAGCACTTGCACTGTGTAGGAACATTTGGCCTCATGCACACGGAAGTTCAAAGTCTTCAGATGTAAAAACCCCGATGATATCCTGCTCCTAGGAAGCCTCAGGTATAGTGTCCAGCCTGCCATACAAGTGGATGGCTGTATACGCCTGTCTTCCTGTACATGCCGATGTTCCTGTGCAATGGCTTTTTCCCGCGCCCAGCGTATTTCATACAGCAGCATCAGCGTTTACACATGTATGGGCATGAGCAGCCATTCACTTACATGACAGGGTGTACATGCCACCTGTAGCTCTCCAGGTGAGGGAAATCGCCGGGGACTTGAGGACTTTGAAACTAATAAATGTCCTTTTGCATGAGGCCTACAGAATATGTGTTCTACTTTGAGGTAGAGAGCTTGGCCTCCCCACTGTGTCATGCTGATCTTAGCTAAGCATGCTAAAATGAAACCTTATCAAGTTGTGTGATGTACGTAATAACTACCTCCACAGTACTGGCTGAACAGCAATTCTACCAAGTCATGTGATGTACTAACTAGTTCTGCAGTACTGGCTGAACAGATCTCTATCAAATGTCACTATCACACTAGACTTCAGAGGATACTCAACCATAGCAGCTCCATAATTCACACCATTCAATGCTGGCATGTATGTACATACTGTACAGCAGACATTGAATATTTATATAAAGTTTAATGTATCATAGTACATATAGGGATTGATTTACTAAAACTGGAGCATGAAAAATCTGGTGCAGGTCTGTATAGAAACCAATCAGCTTCCAGGTTATATTGCCAAAGCTTAATTGAACAAGCTGACATTAGAAGCTTATTGGCCACCATGCACAGCTGCACCAGATTTTGCACTCTCCAGTTTTAGTAAATCAACCCCATAGTGCAGGGGTGTCAAACTACAAGTCCCATCATGCCTCTGCCTTTGGGAGTCATGCTTGTAACAGTCAATCTTGCAATGCCTTCATGGGACTTGTAGTTTGGCAACAGCTGGAGGGCTGCCAGTTTGACACCCGTGCAATAGTGTATTGAATAGGTCATAGTACAAGGGGATCTTTAGGGTGAGGTTCTGAACTCAATAATGCTGAGACTTCTACCTCCTGCTATAACCCCCAAAGTTTCAATGGTTCTCAAGTATAAACAGAAGGAAAGTAAAACCTTTGTGATGCCTTCAGTATTCAATCAGAGTTGAGCTATCAAGTTACTAGTATAGGTCAGAAACCCTAACTTCAGCTTGGGGAACACCTCAACTTCTCCCTAATATCTTTGCTTAGTGCCAGTCTTATTTCAACCAGCTCAGATGTCTAGGCATTTCTATGTAGATCTGCTGATTGATACCTTGGTAAAGATATAAGAACATATTTGTTCATGGAGGTGTAAGTGGTATTTAGTGTGCCAATACCGACATTAAAACAGGGCTGTTTGAAATTTCAATCAATAGAATGCAGCCATGTATAATTCATGATACCATTGATTGGTCATTGTGGCCTTTCGAACTGCTGAAGTCACTAGAAGTAATTTCATACCATATTGGCAGGTCCTACAGCTAAATGTAAAAGACGTACCAATTTCACTGAACAAAACACTTTGTGTTCTGAAGATCTGTTTGTATAGTTTCTATTGACAGGGCTGTTTTAGAATAGCCCTCCAACCTCCACCCCAACGGCCTTCACTTATGCGGTTTAAAAGAATATCAGTATGTAAACCAAATGCCAAAATAATGTGTAGAATGTGCCTTCCTCAACTACAGACCACTGAGAGTCAGCGGGGAAAGTAAGTTGTTTAATGCTAAAGAGAAGGAATGCTAAAACTCCCAGTTCCTAATTATTTTTTAATCTGCCCTACGTGGCAACTGTTCAGGAACGTTCAGCAAATATTATTTACCCAAATTATTTTGGGTAATCGAGCAGGAATGTTTTTTGAGATAATCCTATGGGACCCATCTGCCAAAAACATTTTTCCAATAAGTTGAATCACTGACAGATATTTTCCATGCCTTTTTGCTGTCAGCGGTTTTTGTTTTTACGATGCTGCAAAGTTAGCAGCATTCAATAAATCTTTTTTGAATCTTGCCTAAATCAGTCTATCTATATAATATCAGCTTTGAACCTCACCATCTGCTGATTGTTACTCAGCACTGCGGCTCAGGTTTTTGCTGTGCACATCTGTCTCAATTAAGAGTGCCTGAATAGACTGCTTGACATTCAGCTTGTGTCTGATTAACAAGTTAAAGTGGAACTTCACTCTCTCAATCAGCATTGACTATTCGTCATCCTTATGTTGCTGGCTTTAGTAAGTAGATAGGAAGGGATACTATATTTACTTGTTTTAAACTTTCTTTATACATATGTGTGCTTCTGGTGCCGCTCGAGGCTGACAGCAAAAAGTAATCACCCTGTTGGCAAAGAGAAGAGGGAGCAGCGTCCCAAGTGATTCCAGAGACTTGACAATATGTGTGAAGATGGACGCCTCTGTGGCCAAGCCACCTATGGGCGGGGGGCGAAATGCATCAGAGTGTGGCCAGAGTGACAGCTAAGGCCAATCACTAAACACTGTTTCTCTCGGACTCCTGGGGATCGGTTTGAGGAGAGCATCCATCTTCACATAAATTGTCAAGTTTCTTTTTACATTTCTTCCATTACTTCCTGGTTTTGCAGGCCCTGGCAAATTATGTCATACATCCCAGAAGTCTTCAGGAGGGGAGGAAGGGTTTTCTCAGCTAAGCACACCATCCAGCCTGCACGCCTGAGCTAAGGGCAGATGGATTCCAGGAAGTAAGAGCTAATTAATCATTTGTCCTTACTCAAGATAGCCATGTGCAGAAATTATAGAGGGTGTTTTTAAAAGTGATTTCTCAGCAAAATTTGTTTGCTCTGTTTTGTGGCGCTCAGATGCAGCGCAGTTCAGCTTTAAGCTGGCCATACACTATACGCATTTAAGCTGGTTCCTGAGGAGCAGGCCAAAATGTGCTCAATGGGTGACCACCCAAAAAAACACCCAACTGCATCCAATCAGATGAAGTCACTGTTCAGGTTTTTCAACAGCTGGGGGTGCTGTCAAAATACAAAAAGCACAGTGGCTGATTTGTCCATCCATGCTGTAAAGCATGGATGGGGGAATCGGTGGATGGTGTATCAGTGTATGGCCAGCATTAGTGTGTCTGGTTCTGCCCTGGACAGAGGTCTGTCTGCCTGTTCATACCCTACTCCAGTGATTTTTGTACCGTGTTTGTACTTAGCTTGTCTGTGCTTATGATCGACCTTTCACCTCTGGTATTGTCAGTCATTAATGTGTCTATCTGCATTTCACCTGTTTAACGACTTGCCCTCCACAGGATTTACCCCTCTTCCTGACCAGGCCATTTTTTGTGCCACGGCGTTGCGTTATTTTAACTGACAATTGCGCGGTCATGCAACGCTGCACCCAAATGAAATTTACGGCCTTTTTTCCCCACAAATAGAGCTTTCTTTTGGTGGTATTTTATCACCTCTGTGTTTTTAATTTTTTGTGTCATAAACAAAAAAATACAGATAATTTTGAAAAAAAAAAACCAAAAAACAATATTTTTGACTTTTTGCTATAAAACATGTCCAGTAAAAAGTATATATATATATAGTGCGCTCGGGAAGTGGTTAAGGTTGGTATGCCTGTGTCTGACCTGATCAGCCTGCAGCACGGTACAATGATTTGTGAATTGCTTGATAAGTTCCCTCGAGTTTCCTAAAGTAGCTCTTTAAATATAGGATATAGGTACACTGCTTCTCATTTTACTTGCCCTTTAATTAGGATAGACAATAGAGTGGGACGCTCTGTACTTTGCGCAGCCCATCTGCATTTTTTCTGATGATGTAAAGCATAGTTATTCTTATAGAGTGACACATCCAAATCCCAACATAAAGCATTTCCTGAGCCTCATTTAATATCTTCCTGACAAGTTCTTAATCTCTGCTAGTCTGGTAAACACTGGCGTAATCCAGGGCGGCATTATTATTGACTGTGCTGAAAGATGTCCAATTAGTAGCTGCATTCAGGAGAAATGCGGCTGGATTTGCGCAGAGAGGAAAAAAACCCTTCACTATCCCCTTCATGTATTATTCATCTCCAATCAATCCCTTCAGTCGTGTACTTGGTAAAATGCATGTAGGAATGTGCGCTGCAGCAGTTGGAAGACAATTACTATATCTAGATAGTAGGCTGAATTTAGTAAAGGGGTTATTTTTAGATCGCTTAACTGAATATAACATGTAATACAGAGGTGAAACTACTGTGCTTTAGCATCATTATGTACTTCTTATCGACTGCTAATCTACAAATGCTGATGAATATACATAACAGAGTGTGTCATAACATCTCTATGAAACCATCACCTGTCATGGGTCATACAAACTAATGTCAACTGCCACTTATTCCTCGTCTTGTACTTATTTCCCATGTCATACTAAATTTCCATCAACCTTGTGCACACATTCTGAAACTGTAAATAAGGGGCATAGGGGGTTTATTTACTAAAGGCAAAATAGACTGTGCACTTTGCAAGTGCAGTTGAACTCATTTTCCCCAGAGCTTAGTAAATGTGGTAAAGCTCTGCTGATTTCCATAATCCAATCTTGCGCAAGCAAAAAGGTTTTTTTTTTTCCTTGCACCCGATTGGGTATTTTTTACAAAGTGCTTTATGACTGTAAGGGATTTCGGGCAAGAAGAATCGCGATCGGGAATGCGCATGCGCATAGGAATTCCCGCAGAAGACTTGCCGGTTATGCGCGATCGCGCACACGCACGTGTACACCCATGGCGAAGATTGGCGCTGGATGGCCCATTTAAGGAGTGCCTCTGCTCATGTTCAGTGCTGACTGGTCTTCAGCTCCCCCCGTGTCCTGCTTGTTCCTGTACGATTCCTCCGTTATCAACCTGGCTTGTTCCTGACCCGACTTCGATTACTCTCCCGACACTGGTTCCTGACGTCGGCTCTGCTCCTGACTTTGGCTTTTCCTTCTGATTCTGTACCGCACTGCCCGACTGTTGATGATCCTGGCTATCCTACGACTCTGCTCCAGTCTCTTGTCCTCACTACCTACCTTGCTCTGCTGCACGCCTGGCAATCCACAAAACCTGCTCTGCCTATTACTACGGTGTCCAAATCTGAGGATCATCCACCTTCCAAGGTCATCATCTGCAAGAGCTGCAAACAACCACTGATGCTCTTGTCCCCCTGGTCCCTAGACTCCGTCTGTTCCAACATCAGCTGGGTCAGGGCTAGTGACACAAGTGAGGCCGACCTCGTCAATTCAGTCTCCCATCAGGTACGTGACAATGACCTTGACAGAGAGATGTTGAATTTATATTGCCCAACACCCAGGACATGTAGTTCTGGGTACCGATCAGGTAGATTTTTTTTTTAGCCCTTAGCTCTTCCTCGAGCAAGCAGCAGGGCTCATCTGTCAGGTGAAAGCATTTGGGTGGCAGCGCTGCCGCCCAATTGCTTTCACACAAGCTATAGTTCCAACCTCCCCCCGGTGTGAACCTCCCCCTGCCCACTGTCTCCCGGGCTCCGCTTGCCCATCTGCAGGCCCGGGACCGTTCACCGCGTCGGTTACATGTCCGCTCCCCTCCCCTTAATGTCCTGACGTTGTGATGTCACTTCCGGGTCCCCGTTGAGAGATTTCTCAGCCATAGAGGCTGGGAAAGAATGTAATGCAGTGCGATGTGCATTACATTCAGTGGAGTACAGGGGAGACATGCAGGGTCTTTTAGACCTTGGATGTCTCAATGATGAGAACCTGTCATCAAAAATCATTACATGTGATAAAAAAAAGTAAAAAAAAAAAAAAAAAAAAAAAAATGTTTTTTTAATTGTAAAAAAGTTACAGCCAAGCACATAATATCCCCTCAAAAAAATTCAGGGCCCCTCTCCCACCCCCACAAATATGCACAAACGTAAAAGTACACACTGGGGCGCCTACGCATGAAAACATCGATTGCGATGCAGGTTACATATCGTCGCGCACGCCAGAAGCCAGAATGAGAGCAATAATTCTAGTACCAGAGCTCCACCGTAACACTATACTGATGACCTATAAGGGGCTTTAAAAGTGTCGCCTATAGAAAATATCAGGTATTGACATTCGTTGCCATTTCACGAGCGTGCACAAATTTAAAGTTTGACATGTTGGATATCTATTTACTCAGTGCAACCTCATCTTTTATATTTTACAAAAAAAGGGTAATTTATTGCTTTTTTGTGCCCTAAAATTAACTTAAGTGTAATTTTTTACTGACATTTTTCAGTAATATCGTGCAATATAAAAAATTGCAACTACCACCAAGGGTCTAGGGTCTCTGCTTTCAGAAAATACGCTTGGGGATTTTATGTAATCTTCAGGCCTAAAAAAATATTTTTTTTAAACGTGTGCAAAAAAACACAAAAAACAGCTCTGGCAGCAAAAGGGATGAAGGATAACTGATGAGCAGTCAAGCGGTGCTCATTACACTGCAAGGTCTCTCTGCTCCCTGCCAATCCCCGGGTGCGGTGCTGGAGACAGGCAGGGAGGGGAGGAGGAAATAAACAGCACAATGCTAAAATTATTACACATTTAAATCGCCATAAAGCCCCTTTTGTTTTTAAAAGCCCCAGATATTCCTAAAAGCTCCTCAGAATTCAATACAGTTTTGGTTAAAATGTATTTAATTTTATCAGGACAAGTAGATTGTCATGCGGGACAAGTAGATTGGAACCCCGATGTAGTCCCTGGACAAGTAGTTTTTTCAAAAATGTCAACACCCCTGATTGACATTTACTAAGAAAAAAAGACTGCAACTGCACTTGAAGTGCACAGTCCATTTGCTCTTAGTAAATTCTCCCCAGAGTTACCACACTGGAATTTGAAATGAGAAAACAAGAGCAAGGGTGAAAGATAGTCACCCCTCACTCTCTAAGATCTCTCTAGGTGCTTTTAAGGCAACAGAATAATATAGGGTTGATTTATAAAGAATTTGCAAAGATATTTGCCCAGTAAAAGTGCATGTACTTTTGTTCGGTGCGAAAGTCGCCAAAAAAAAAAAAGAAAAAAAAGTAAATAGGCAATATCCTGTGCTATTCGCATGTAAATAATTGATTTTAAACTCAAAATACCATATTTGGTTACTAGATGGCCCTAGGCCAGGGGTGGGCAACCTGCGGCTCTCCAGCTGTTGCAGGACTACAAGTTCCATCATGCCTCTGCAAGCCTTAGCTGTAACTGTCAGTTTTGCAATGTATCATGGGAAATGTAGTTCCACAACAACTGGAGAGCCACAGGATGCCCACCCCTGCCCTAGGCCTTAGAATTTTTTTTATGATACTTCGCGACATCTAGTGGCCAAATGTGATATGTTCCATTTAAAATCAATTTATATTTGAACAGTACAGGATAGAGCCTATCTACATTTGCTTTTGCATCATTTGCATAGAACAAATTTATATGTACCTTTACTGGGCAACTTTGCAGCTCCAAAAGATACAGCTGTTATTTAAAGGTTCATTCCAATTTCCAATTAAAAATGGGCAGCTGGAATGAGGACAGTAATGGGCAGCTGTACCAGGCAGTAATGTCAACTAACCCTAAATCCATGGAGTCACTCTAATTTGTCACTTTTAACCCCCCCCCCCCCAACACACACACATTAACTTAAATTAAATAAAAAAGATTTGGCTTTAGATATACTTTATCGGTACACCTATATTTTAATATTTGATATACCTACAAGGAATACAGACAATCTACTCAGTACTTCACTTTATCATTGTTGTGGTATGCCAGATCATCCCTCTTCCTAGTATACAAGTGATCCTGAAACACGTCTGGTTGTGATGCTGGAACACACACTGCTGGCTCTTCTAATTTACAGAAAGCCTGATGATAAAAATATGGCAGTACTAAGAAGTTTTAGATGGCTGCCAATCAGAATCCAGTCCTGGAAATTTGTATGTGCCTGGAGAGGCTGGAAGCAGTTAATAGCGAGTTCACACAACACAGGCTTTAGGGACTACACTGAAAGCAGCGAATTATAGAGAA